TATTTTTTTGCTGTATATATACAGTATATACCTATTTATATACACAAGTGTGTAGGATTTAGTGGCATCTAGCGGTTTAAGCTGGTGACTGCAACTCCCTCCCATGCCAAAGGCTGTGTTTAGAGCCAGTGTTTGGTTTGTTAGTTCTGGTCTACTGCAGAAGCATGATGGTTCAACATGGTTGACCTCGTAGAAGAGGACCCGCTCCCTCTGTAGATAAAAACATCTCATTCTAAGGTAACAAAAACGATTCATATTTTTTAGGTAATTATACACTAATGAAAACATATCTATGAATATTATATTCCTTTTCTGCCAATAGATCCACCTAAATGTTACACACTAGACCTTTAAGAGCAACATAAGTCAAATTGCTTGTATGTGTGGCAAGGGCAGTAAGGGGAGAATGGGGAAAGAACAAACAATGCCACCTGGGGAATTGCACCCCAGGAAATACTTTAACCTCTAACCTTAAATGTTATTTGGATAATTAATGAAGGCACAAAGGCTCATTACTGAGGTAAGACCGAGACATGTTTTCACAATAATTTATTGAAAGAATCAACACAAGAAGGGGCTGGAGCTGCTGAGAAAGAAAAATTATTAATAAGCAAAGAAAAATGTCTAAAATTCACATTGTGACTAAAAATACTTCTAAAAGAAGGCCTAATACAATATCTACAACCATTGCTTAACCATATTAATAAGAATGAAAAAATGATCAGTCCAACATAAATTAACTAAAACTAAGGAAAGCAAAACAAACTAAGATAGCAGTATTCAGCCACCTCTGGTATGGGGCGCTAACTCTCAGGATTGGTTCCACAGGTGAGGGAAGGGAACACTGGACCAGCTGAGCAAAACTAAAATAAAGAGCAGTCAACTAAATCTGCAGTAAAGAAAAGCTAACTCAATTGACTAAATGGATCTTTAACATACCTGGAGCATCAAACAACCAGAGAGACAGGATCAATGCCAAAAGGAGAGACAGCATCTTCTTGTTTGGTTTTCTGGCGGGCTATAAACCAATGTTAAAGGTGCATGCCAGAGTGCATAAAATCATGACTATATTGGAATTATATTCTGTATATTAGGCCTGTTTCATTGAAGTATTTGACAGAATCCCTTTGTACCTGATTTTGTTGGTGGCCTCCAGTAGGGGTCTCCCCAACAGACCCCCTATACTCCACTCCTTTCCCACGTAGACCACCCTTTCTTTTCCATACTGAACCTTCTACAAGCCATCAGCAAATGTTCGACAGTCTCTTTACAATTACATATTTCACACGGATCATCTTTTTTTATTATGTATAATGCTGCGTTCAACCTTGTATGTCTTAATCTTAACCTTGGTAAAATTATATCTTCTTTTCTGCTTTTACTTTTCCAGCTTCTTACTCTAACTGATTTTTTAATTTTATAATAGTCCCTACTCTTGATGTCATTATTCCATATATCTTGCCAAGTTTCCACTATTCCCTGCTGAATAATTGATTTTTCCTCTGACTTTCCAAAACATAAATTTAAAATATCACTATTTTTGTTTAATGAAGCTAGTTTATCAGCAACCTCATTTCCCTCTATTCCAACATGCGCTGGTATCCAAAAGTAATTAACATCTATACATAGCTGTTCAATAAAATCATGTATATTTCCAATAGTAGATATTTTCTAACTGAGAGAGTATCAGCTAGCAAGTGGCTTATATAACCTTACATGATTCACTAATTCTGCACTTACCTACTTCAAGGGGGCATTCCCTGCCACATATGTATAAACATACCTGGCCCATAAAAATGATTCTGATTCTGATTTTACATCCAAAATCAATGGAAATCAATGAAAATACTAAAGCTCAGCGTTGTCTGACAAATGCAAGCTTTCCATTTATCTTACTTTCATGTTAGATCAATTACATTTTGTGCAAAAGACTTTAGAAAAACCCACAGTGAACAATAATGAATCCTTAAAAAGGCAATTCATCCAAATAACAATAAACAAAAACATGTTTTTTCACTTCTGTTAGTATGGACATGCAGAAGGTTTTGGTTTTGTTTGCTGAGGATTTGGTACACCTGCATTTTCTTTTTACATTTCCTTAATAATTACCTCAGTTCCACACATTTTCAGTTAAAAGACTTTAACGAGATTTATGCTGATTATCCAGGGATCAAACCCACAACCATCCAGTCACAAGTCTTATTTTCTAACCTTTAGACTACTTCTGCCATAAGGGGATCCCCAATACAATGCCACATAATTAACTGTATATTGAAGTAATTGCTAAAACACTAATCTAAAACAAGAAAAAAACGACTGTGCTATGGACAAAAAAAAAAAAGCTAGTAAATGTGCTGCTGAGACTATAACAGCAGGCTACCCTGGCTATGCTGTCAGTGGTGTCCATAAGCGAGGTGCTGACACTTGACCTGTGTATGCTCAAACATCTCTGGAGCTAGAAACTTGGAGATTGGTGGTTGCCATGGTATTATAGTTTATATCTGGCTGCCCTTATTCAGCCACAACCAGTATGTGCAATATACTGCATAATGTTAAATGGTTAACAGTAATGGCTTTAAAAATGCAGATCAGAAAAATACCCAGTGGAGTGTGTTGTGATGGCATGTTGTTTTCTGTTTTGATCCTGTCATATTAACCTGCTTGATGAATCCTGAAGCCATGTGAGTGACATTTTAGAATTTATTTTAGGTATCACTACACAGATTGCTGAAGGGTATTTTTTCCATCCACAAAGTGGAGTAAACTTTTCTTTTTATTAATTTTCTAGAGGTTTCGGGGGAGGTTGTGTGGGTTTTGGTGCATTACTTACCTTGACTGTTGACAAATACAATTAATGTAGTAGACCAAATAAATATTCCCTCAGATATTCTCAGTGTTTAAATATTCAAAAATCAATAAAAATCAATATTCAATTGTAACGACCCACTCCCCCCTGTCTTCCTGTTCCTGTTTGTGTGGCTGTTTTCTGTGCAGGTACTTTAAGTGGGCGTGGCAGAGGGTCATCAGTAAATTGGCCCTTTTGTCATGGCTGTTTGTGACACAATAAAAACATAAATCATGTCTTATTCATATTAACAAAAATTTGTTTTACAATATCCCCCTCAACAGGTTCTCCCCATGGTTGCTGTTATGTTGTTGTTTAAGTCTCTGGGTTGTCAAGAATATGACTTTGCATGTGGTTTGGTTTTTTGTGACAAGCAAGGCATCTTCATGGTTGACTGATATCCCAAAGAGAAAAACAAATGACTAAAAACAGATAAACAACATTTAGCACAATGGCTAGGTAGTGAAATCAGCTGTTCCACATTTGTTGACACTGGAGTGGCCTCATGGAGAGATGTGGTTTGTATGAAGAAGAAGCATGATGACTTTTATCTTCAATGACAACTTCACATTAGCTTTTATGACATAACCCATTGGTTTGTGAAGTACCATTTTGAAAATATTTTTATAAATAAATAGGCAATGCAGTAACATAATCTTGATTCATATTTGATCAGCACTGCCTAGTTTGACAGTTTGATTGACAGTTCACTATGTGTGATAGTATTTTCAGCAGTGATAATTCTACTACTGGATAGACACACTGGTCTTTAAAGTAGTGGAGAAATATGAATAACCATGTTCCAGTGTTACAAGTATCATGGATGAATTGGTTTTGCAGGATATTTACAAAACTTGTGACAATATTATGCATTGTCATACATACAGCCCATACACAAAATCATTTGCATCATGGGAAACTTAACATGGCTTTAAGTAAGTAGGAGCATTTACATTTTCTCCATTCACTTTATTGCACTTTACTTGTCTTATCGCACTTTACCTGTCTTGTTGGATTTTTCTCCTATAAACACCTTGAGATAGAAGTTCATATTTACTGGATTTTTAGTTTCTGCTACCATATTTGGAGACAGCTGGATTGCTGGTTTCCCTCCAAACATCCAGGCCCAGAGTGGCTGTGGTTTCAATTGTTGCTATGCCTGAGTCTGTGTATTTTTCTGCTGATGTTATCCTCTTGTAAAGTCATCAAGTGTTTGTAGCTGCCTGAATTGCATGCTACAAATAGCTGTTACAACAAGCACTATATCAGGACTTAGTTTTTAGTCAGCCATTTTAAATCACATAATTCATTCAATAAATTCATTTTCAAATACCCACATGATGTGTAGGATGCTTCTCTTGAGCAATTTCTTGATTTTCTCTTCCCATTTCATGATATTAGTTTAATCAATAATTTCATGCAAAGGACTCCAGTGTAAATACAGCAATATTTAATATTAATATGCACAAACACAGCACACTGAAATTATAATATTTTTAAAGATCTTGTCCAGACGTACATATTTCTGACACTACTTTTAAGTATTCATGAAAACACTAGAGTGAAAACAGACTTAATGAAATGTACATGTCCAATCAAAAATCTATAGTATTTGGCTCAAAATCAGGATTACAACTCGTCTAATAACATCTGAGAAGTTGTTGAGTTAGTAATTATACAGAATATGGAAACCAAGCAAAACATTTGAACTAAGTTTCAGTCACATTTTGAGTGTGGTTGATGCTCATTCCAGTCATCAGTTTTCAGATTTTGCATGCTTCCATGTGGATGTAAGGAGCACTGCATGCAGACGCTGGATGTCAGAGTAGCATCACTATGTGTGATAGTATTTGCAGCAGTGATAATTCTACCAGAACAGTATTAAGTATTAAGTACTAATAGCAGTAGGTATATCATCGATGTTTACAGTGAGAGAGTTGAGATTTCATTTTACAGTCTTCTGTGGTGTGATATGCTATTTCTTCTCTAGACATTTCGATTGGATCTGTCCTTGTATTAGCTACGTTTTGTATATATGTTGGCAGCTTATAGCCTCTATATTCTATACATTGCAACTTCTTTCTTGGGATAGAAGTCAGTAACAGTGATAGATGTGATGTAATTTCAATTTACCAGATGTAATGTTCTGAATGTCTCAGATGCAGATAAAGTTAAGTCGGTCCTGGCAGTCCCAGTTTTCCCACTCTGCCTGTTTGGTTAAAGCTCCACAGCGTTTCCACATTGGACACTGGTGGTCCTGAGCTCCGTCTTGGGGCCAGGCCTGGTACACCAGAGGGTCACCATTAACCCACAGCCAGCGGTCCACCAAGTAACGTAGGCCGATCCACACCCGCTCAGTGACCTCGAACTTTTGCATCACTCTCTGGGCTGTAAGGTGCTCGGGCTCAGAGAGCACGCTGGTGAGGTTAGTCTGTATCTCATTGCAGTGCTTCAGAGCATCTTCCCAGGTCTTCTCCACCTCTACCATGGTAATATGGATGCAGTAAAAAGACTTGACTTCATTTCCATTATGATCATTCCATCTTCCATTAAGCAAGATTTGTACATGGTTCTCTTGGTTCTTGTGATTATCTGGTTGTCCACTTTTCCAGTTTTCGTATGTAAGGTTTCTCCATCCTGACCACTTCCAGTTAGTGCTGTTGGAATCTCGGTGGAGACCGATCCATCCTTCTTTTTTGTGTTCAAGCACAGTTGCTGTGAGCTTCTCTTGATCACTCTGGCTTCTAACAAAGGACAGATCAGTGTAAGTTTCTTGACAATAAGCCTGAGCCTCACGCCATTTCTTATCCATATTAACAAAAATGTGTTTTACAATATCCCCCTCAACAGCTGAACAAAGAAAAATTAAGAAGAAGGTTCTCTCCATGGTTGCTGCTCAGTAGCTCGAGCTGAGATCGTTTTCTTTGGCTGTTTCTTCTCCTAAACAGTGTTATTTAAGTCTCTGGGTTGTTAAGGATATGACTTTGCATGTGCTTTGGTTTGTTATAACAAGCAAGGCATCTTCATGGTTGACTGATATCCCAAAGACAAAAACAAATGACTAAAAATAGATAAATAACATTTAGCAGAATGCCTAGGGAGTGAAATCAGGTGCTCCACATTGGTCGACACTGGAGTGACATCATGGAGCGATGTGATTTGTAAGAAGAAGAAGAAGCAGGATGACTTTTATCACCTATTTCCTATTATCTTCATTGAATACAACTACAACTTCACGATAGCTTTCATATAATGCACATTAGTTTTGATTTAAAGAGGAATATTCAGTGGTATGTTTTTATTAGTGTATATTACCTGAATATTGGAATTGTTGTGTTTTTGTTATGTTAGAATGCACAATTAAAAACATTCATAAAACTGCCTTTGTAAAGGTAGAAGAAAAAAGATGAAGAAATAATAGCATTTCACATATTTGTATTCTTAAGGACGCACATAGTATATTTAGGTAATAATAATGAATGTAACTTTGCAAACATTTCTTTACAAGACATCAGCTTTTGCTAAAATAACAATCATTATGGATCAATATTATTTTCTGTGGTCTCCTGTGGCATGTTACAGTAGATTAAAAACATAAAAAAAAGCCCTCCCTTTGGTTTTGGCCTCTGTGTTGATTCATTTACAGTATTTGTGGTGTCATAATTCCTCCCCATTTAGGTGGAACTGGTTTAAGTGTTGGTCATAAAGTTATCATCATAATTACCACATACTGCCCTGAAATTCCTTAAACTGCCTTTACATAGTCTCTAAGTTAATCCATTAGTTTTAAGTGTCTCCCAACACCAGTGCCATAAATATACTGTACAGTATGAAGAAACCTTACAGTCTCAACCTATTAATATGACAAGTAAATCACATACTATAGCCACTTGAGAGGCCCCTGCTCTGTTCCAGATTTACAAGCGAACCCAGGTCTTGGACAAGAAATTTATGTTCTCCTGCTCATCGTAAACTAATTATGAATGATAGCTCATGTTGGGGAATCTCAAAAACAGCAGGGGAAAAAATGAAGACATGCTGCACCCTGAATAACAATTATCAACAATGTAGAAAATATAAGATGAATAATTGCAATGTGACAGATGTGGGAAGGAACACATCAGTGATGTGTTAAGACATATAGCTACAGCATTACACTCTTGCTGTTAAATCATTACTATCAATGTAATATAAATAAATGGAGTGAATAAGTTACATATCTTCATATAACCTGTGTGAAGAGTGGACATAGGAGTTTCTTTTAGCCTGACCAAACCAATTACAGCAAGATATAATCAAAATGTTGCCATTGCTTACACTTTACTTCGTGTGTCATTGATTCATGAAAATAGAGCCCCAGAGGTCAAATGGGATGAATGTTGTGTAAATGAGGCACTCTGAGCTCATGCATGTGAAGTTTGACCCACAAGCACATTTCTTCCTCTGCTCCGCACTCAGTGATTTAATGATGCTAATTGGGTTTTCTAGATGAAATGGTGATTGTAGTGAACAGATTATTGTCTTCTGCTTGGACAAGCTTTGTGTTTCTCATGCAGTGAAAAGTTGAGTTTGAAAAACATACGAGCTAAATAATCATTCTTTAGCTCCTGTTTCTGTTTTCTCTCTGCCTTGTCCCAAGTGTAGCTCAGAAAAGATAATCAGCTGTGAGGCAGGTGAGTGTGTATGTTCATTTATGAGTATAAGTGTCTCTGTGTGTGAGTGTGTGTGTGTGTGTGTGTGTGTGTGTGTGTGTGTGTGTGTGTGTGTGTGTGTGTGTGTGTGTGTTTAAAGAGTGAGAGGGTCCGACCGCTCTCTGGCCCCTGGGCCAACTGCATTATTCAGAATTGAGATAAGAGACTCCACACTCTGGACCTTTCGGATGCTGCTTAACCTCTGAAGGGTTCTACAGTAAACACATACACACACACACGCACACACACACACACACACACACACACACACACACACACACACACACACACTACACTCTCTCTTACACACACAAATATACAAACACCCTCTACAGTGGCCATCTGATAGCCTACCAAACAACCTTTAGAGGAATAACATTGCATCAAGGACAGAATGCGCCACAGGGCTCTTGAAGCTTTCATCTTTAAGGTCATTGCTAATCCTACAGTCAGTAATGGCAAGCCAAAAAATATTTTACAGGACACACACTCAACTTACTGGCAAACTTTCATTTAGTTGATTCTGGCGGCTCCACTGCTTCATTTAATTGATTTCAAGGAGCATCCAACCAAATCTGGTCAGTGGAAGAATAACTACATAGAAATAGCAAAAAGCAGTCTTTTTGCTGATGATGATGTAAATAAACAACAACAAATAACCTACTGCACTGAACTGCCAGATCAAACACCATATCTTTACATTTAGTTGTTTATAGGGAGTGTTGTGTTTTAAGGTCTGTGAACATTGTGTTAACCTTCACTTCTTTCACATTCCATGTTTTCTGACACATTCTTATATGTACAGTACATCGTCTTTGTTTTGTTATATAACCAAAAACGTAACGTACATCGACAATGAAGCTGCCCCTGTTCAGTCTCTATCACGTTAAGGAAATATTAAACAAACGTGTTAAAGGACATATAGTTGGTTGAGTGTCACAGGGAATTCCAGCAGCTTACACAGAAGACTGGAGTTAAAGAAAGAGCGAGCTAAAACACTGGTTCTCAAACTATGGTACATGTACTACTGGTAGTATGAAAGTTAAATAGGTTAAGTAAGAAGGTGCCCCTTTTACACCCAATTAGCTCTGGTTCTTGAACTAGCTTTATTTAGGATTCAGCAACAGTCAAAAATAAATAATCTTAACCTGCTTAAGGCTGCTGTATTTCAACATCGGTCACAATGGGGAGCTAAAATATTGCTTGTTTCTTTCAAATTCTGAAAACTCTTAAATACTTTTTGGTGTATTATGTCACCTAACTTACTGACTCAAAAAAAGGGAACTGAAACATTATGAAAACTGGGGATACAGTATTGACATGTTACTTAGACTTCTGTTGGTATTGATATTAATTGTATCAGTGTTTACAGAAATAAAGCTCAGTGTCATTCATTACAATTCTCTCTCTGACTCTCCTTATTAATCAGCTGACTATGGGTCTTTACTCTTTCAGTTAAACCGATCAGACTTTGACATGATCTCCTCCAGCCAGTTATGTTGTTGCTGTCAAACTTTAAATCTGTTCTCCTCTGTGGTGCTGTCAGCTGTAATATCAGTGCAAAGTTTTTGCGACCCTCCTCCACCCCATTCACCTCCAGTTCATCATATCCAGTGCCCAGGTTGAGCTCATCAGAAGTCGACTCCTTATCGCATCCTGATCTTGAGCCATTCACTTTATCCCTTTCATCACTGTCACCGGTGTCTAGACTCCATCGGCGAGGTTTCCTATACTAATCACGGCTTCAAATACGATGACGTCATGATGGGATCTGATCGCAAAAAACTTTATTGCGTATGTATCAGTTCTTTTTAAAATGAAGTCTCTCTCTCCTGATTGAAATTAACGGATAACCAATAAAACTGATACTGAGTATACCATGAGTGTAATTAAAGGTCCAGTTGAAGGACAAGTGACTTTTCTGTCCCTAAGGCTGCCTTGAGGTCAGATAAGCCTCACCTCACCACACACACAAACAAACACAACACACACACACACACACACACACACACACACACACACACAGAAGCATGGGGCCAAACCTCTATAAGAAGCCCTGATGAGCATCATTAGGCCCAATCAAAGCAAGTGATTAGCCTCAGTCTGAAGCCATGGAGTAAGACAGAGAGAGACTTTAATGGATGACTCGTTCATGAATAGTACTAATGAGCACAACAAAACTGGCAAATAGCAAACACTGGAAAACCTTTGTCAGATTCAAGGTGGGCCCTCCGTCTGGGTCCGTGTATGTTTTGGTCATTGGATTTTCCTTTCAGAAACGGGTATTAAAAAACAGAAAACGAGTGGTTATTTGATTTTCGTTTTAAAATACAAAAATGAAAATTGAAATACAAGGCGTTTTTCTTTTTCATGGTCAAAAGGGGATGAGCGAAATTTTAAAAATGATTCGATTTTCATTTTCTATTTCATATAACAAAAAATAAAATCACTAGAAAACAGAAACGGAAAAAAGGCCTGTTTTTTCATATTCTGAGACCGGATGTTGTCATTTACAGGACGGTGCTGTGTAGAAGAAACAGTAGGCTAGTAGACTGCGGTCAATCCAGCCGTGAGTCCGATCCCCGTGGTCAAATCAGCCGCACTTAAATTTAGAGTGTACGAGTATTCTCAGCATTATGGTAAATGCGGAGAAAGAGCGTATTTACTTCCGGTTTTCAAAATAAAGGTATTTAGAGCCGTAAGCTATAATTAAAATATGTTACAATAAAGTGTTTCATGCGCCCCTGATGAATAAAAAAAAACACTTTATATCAAGTATCTTTACTGCACCAGTGTG